GGTTTTTTTTCCCTAAAGGATTAGGAGTGCAAGGGTCTTGTAACTTGACAGCTTTAAGACTTGCGTGCTTCAAATGCCCAGAGTTCCTGAGCCAACATTTTGATTGCTAAGCAAGAGCGCTGTTAAGTGAGTTTCACCACATTTTACAAGTTGGCCATGCCCACCCAGTCACACGACTGCCAAGCCACTCCCACTCAGTCACATGGCTGGCAAGCCCCTCCCACCTGGTCACATGGCCAGCAAGCCACTCCCACAAAGCAGGCCGCACCCAGAGAAGAGGTTCTATAAAAAAATTGAAACCCACCACTGCCTCTGCTCAACCGTAGCTTGGGGTGGAAGGAAATGGGGGGCTTTCCCTGCTCAGATAGAATACCCACCTAGGGGGTCGTAGGCCGGCAGGACATCAAATTCAATGAAGTCCTCAGAGTCTTCGGAATATAACTCGAATTGGCTCACTCGTGGGTTGGGCCACTTCGACTGGCGAAAGGAAACCTGCAGATCCAGCAACCTCTCGCATTCCTTGAGCCGGTTTTGAAACTCCATAATGATCTCCTTCCGTTTCTTTTCTTGGTCTTCGAAACTTCTGAAGATGTTCAAGAAGAGCACCAGGTCGGCATCAGAGCCTTGTTTCAGGCAGGTGCCTTTGCCCAGCGATCCGCCCTGGGAAAGGGGAAAAGGGAGGGGGGTTCCCGTCGTGAGTCTCCGAGACTCCATACACATCGTAAATGCAGCTGCCATCCCCTGGGAGGAGGAGGGAGGTAGCAATGGTTTGGTTTGTGCCTGGCACAGAACCAAGAACCATTTTCCTGCTATAATATACTTTTCCCCAAGGCCCTTGGCACCAGGGTCTTCCTTGCCCACTGGATAAGCCAGTTGCCGACCTCCTCGGAGTCTATTTCTACTAATACGTTTTCTTAAATTATTATACTCTATTTCTGCTTTTGATGGATTGGACCTGTCAATTCCGCTATCCATGCGCATATTATAATCTCCTGCCATTATCACATAACCGTTTTTTTTTTAACTTCTTCAATTTCTTTATATACTCTATTATAAAACCCTCTTTGACTTATATTAGGTGCACACAAATTTGCTAAGGTAGCTTCTTGTCCATAAATCAAACCTTGAGTTATCTTCCCCAAACATCCCTTTTTATANGCTCCGACCCTCTGGAATAAACTGCCCCCAGAGATCCGGATCCTACCCACTGTCATGGCCTTCCATAAGGCTCTTAAGACCTGGCTATTCTGGCAGGCCCGGGCTGTTGAACTCATGTTTGAATTCCAGCCCCGATTAGACTGAGTGTATGTTGTGATCTTTTTAACTATGTTTTTTTGTGTTTTTTAACTTCTATTTTAATTGTATTGTTGTAAGCCGCCTGGAGTCCTCCGGGATTCGCCTATAAATTTATTAAACATTAAACATTCAAACATCAGGAAATTCTGGCCATGGAAAGGCCCAGCCAAATCTACATGGAGCCTAGACCAGGGTCCCCGGGGTAGGTCCCACTCTCTAACAGGCACCATTGGGGGGGGGGGCTGGGCGGGACTCTTGACAACTGGTACAGTGACCGACCCAGGTCGCTATAGCCTCATCCAACTTGGGCCAGCAGACATAGCTACGTGCTAAAGCCTTCATATGAACTATGCCTGGGTGGCCCTGGTGGAGGCACTCCAAAACCTGGGTTTGCAAGGAGGGGGAATTATAACATGGTCTTCCCAGAGTAGACACTTGCCCTGGAGGGAGAGCTCCAGCTGGCGCATCTTAAAAGGCCAGCTTCCCCTGGGATCCAGCTTCCCCAATGGCCACCCCCTCTGCACCCAGGTGAGGACCTGGGAGAGAGTGGGGTCCGTCAGTGAGTGGGACATGACATCAGAGGCCGAGAGCGGCAGGTCTAGTGACTATGGCCAAAACAGTGGAGGTCAGAGAGGGGTCCGTGACAGGGAGAGGTAACGGGCAGCAGCTAAGGGCATCAGCATGTCCTAGCTGCTTCCCTGGGTGGTAATAAGAATATGCCACCAAGAATTCAGTCCATCTGGACATCCAAGGGGAAAGGATGGGTGTGGTTGGACGGTAACCATCCAGAAGCCCAAGGAGAGGCTTGTGGTCGGTGATCAAGGTGAAGTACCACCCGTAAAGGTAATCATGGAACTTTTAAATCCTGGACACTGCAGCCAGAGCCTCCTTGTTGATCTGGCTGTAATTCTGTTGGGTGGAAGGGAGTGTCCTGGAGTAAAAAGCAATGGGGGCTTCTGAGTCATCG